GATAGGGAGGAATAGTTCGGATTATATGATTGTATACATTCTATTTTAAAGTTCACAACTGACCAAAGTCTCAGATGTTGTTTTTGCTTCTTAAATTCTTCTAATCAGCTTTGGGTACCTCTGCCTCCCTCCGGGAAGATAAGGTTCGAGGCCAAATTTTCAGACAATTCAATAATAAAATTGATTACTTTTCAACTGTTTGTTAGTTTCAGTTTGAATCAACAATTGGGATGAATCATCGAAACAAGGATGGACAGATGCAAAATGATCACTCCGTTCCGACTTGGTTCATTATGCACACACACACACACACACACACACACCATATCGGTTTTAATGCCCCTTGGTAATAGAAAGATGTGCCTGGTAGTTGACCTTGTTTTTTGACTCACACAACCAGTTCGTATCGATCGGATGAACATGCTGCCGAGAATCCATAAATAATGGCTGGAATAGGATACAACTGATTTGGTGGGGAACAGCTGTTGATCAATGTCATGAGAATCAAACAAACGTGACACAAAAACGAACAAGTTTCGAGACGGGAAATAACGATTCAGAAATGTGTTCTTATTTTGTTCAGAAAAAAACAAACAATCAAATTAAGCTCGTAAATTATTACAAGCATCTCAGTGAATCGGCATGGAGTTCGGTAGTCCGTAAACGCGTGTACATTTTGAACCCTAAAGAGCGAGTTGTATTGGTTTTTACAATTCGTGAGAACAAATCTAATATGTTAAATGTACAAAATGGAGGCAGAAAAGTTGTTTGCGACTAGACCTTCATTCACCTTCGAATTATGATTGCTTTAAAGCTCAGTGAGTTCAATCATTTTACAACAAAAACAATACATTTCATTTATTTATATTTGAAGGAATACTAAAAAACAGTGGGGGGAAAAACTATCCTAATTTCATCAAAAGTGGGACAATTTAAGGAACGAAAGGATTTGCAAACAAGTTTTTGAAACGGTCAAACAAATACCAAGTAGAACATTCTGCAACATATTTCAGTGATCTTACTCGTACGACACTGGAAGGGCTACACGGGATAAAGCACGACAAAAACAAACAGACCAATTCATGTTCACATCATAAAGTTATAAAGATCCGAGAATGTCT